GGGCAGTAAGAGGTGACCAGGCCGGTGGGGGGCAGAGGGGGGGCACTTAGGATCGACAAGCCAGCAGGGAGGGGGCAGTTGGGGGTGACCTGGCCAGCAGCAGGAGGCTGTTAGGGGCAACCAGGCCAGCAGGGGGGATAGTTAGGGACAATCAGGCTGGCACACAGAGGAAGTAAGGGGCGATAAGGCCAGTAGGGAGGAGGGGGCAGTTAGGGGCGACCAGGCAGGCAGGCAGGCAGATGAGTAATTAGGAGCCAGTGGTCCAGGATTATGAGAGGGATGTCTGACTGCCCGTTTAGGCCCAATCCCTGGGATCGGGCCTAAACCGGCAGTCAGACATCCCCCGAGGGGTCCCAGATTGGAGAGGGTGCAGGCTTGGCTGAGGGGCACCCCCCCTCCCCGCATGAATTTTGTGCACCGGGCCTCTAGTTTTATAATAAGGGGGGTCAATTTCAGGAAACTATAAGTCCTAAGTATATAAGAACCTAATTCCAGAGCCCCAAAATAGATGAAGCAAACACTAACAGAAATGAAGAGAAAAACAGACAACTCAACAATTCAATGATCTATTTTCAATAATGTATAGATCAACTAGTCAGAAGATCAACAAAGAGATGGAAAAGAAATAACTAATGGGTCTAAGAAGAAATTGCAAGAGAATTTGGAAAATACTTTTGAGTTGGATAAAAGGAAAACTGAACATACCAAAACATATGGAATACAATTAAAACAGATCTTAAAGGGAAATTAACAGCTTAAAATTTCTATATTAAAAAACACACACACACACACAAGATCTCAAATCAATAAACTAATTATACACCTTAAGGAACTAGATAAATGGGAGCAAACTAAACCCAGATACTAGAAGAAAGGAAATAATAAAGATTAGAGGGAAGATGAACAAAATAAAGAAAAATAGAGAAAATCAATGTATTTGTAAGTTGATTCTTTGAATAGATCATCAAAACTGACAAACCTTTAGCTAGCTTGACCAAGAAAAAAAGAGAGAAGACTCATAATAACATCAGGAATAGAAGAGGAGATATCACTACCAACCTTACAGAAATAAAAAGGATTATAAGTTGATTAGTGGTTGCATAGGTCTGTGTGTGGACAGTGACTACTAACAGGTATAGGGTTTAATTTGGGGTGATGAAAATGTTCTACAGTTAGATTGTTGTGCCAATTGCAAAACTCTGTGAATATACTGAAAATCGATGAATGTACTTTAAACAAGTGAATTTTACAGTATCCCAATAGCATTACATCCCAATAGAGCTGTTTGAAAAAGCCAGGATGGCCCACCTGGTGTGGCTCAGTGGTTGAACATGAACCCATGAACCAGGAGGTCACAGTTCAATTCCCAGTCAGGGCACATGACTGGCTTGTAGGCTCAATGCCCAGTGGAGGGTGAGCAGGAGGCAGCTGATTAATGATTCTCTCTTATCTCCCCTCTCACCTCCTCTGTCTAATATCAATAAAAACATAAATAAAATTTTAAAAAGTAAGGCTAGTCCTGGCTGATGTGGCTCAGTTGGTTCGAGTATCATCCCGGACACGGAAAGGTTGCAGGTTCAATTCCTGGTCAAGGCCATTACCCAGGTTGCAGGTTCGATTTCTGGTCTGGGTGTGTAGGTAAGGCAAAGTTTCTCTCTCACATTGACGTTTCTGTCTCTCTCCCTCTCCCTTCCTCTCTCTCTAAAATTAATTTTTAAAAAAATCCTCAGGTGATGATTAAAAAACATAATAAAATAAAATAAGTCAGGATAAAACTGGACCCAAAGTATAGGGAAAATGATTGTCTCCTGGGAAGGAGGAAGGCACTTCCTTCATGAAATCAGAGGGAAATATAAGAAAGGATAGCAAGAGAGTATTAAGTGAAGTAAAAATTAGAGGCCTGATTTTGATACATCCTTACTTTGTGTTCCAGATCTCAAGCCTTTTCAGGGAGCTTTCCTTCCAACATCACAGAAGTGCTGCCTTCTCATAGTCCCACCTGCCATGGCCTTCTCCATACGAGTCACCATCACTCACCTGGGCACCATTCTTTTGCTTCCTTCCTTTTAACAATCCAGGGCTCTTTCCTGTGTTCCAATAAGGAGATCACATCTGGCTTAGAATCGCAAAGTCCTGCTCAAGTTAAAAAAAAATCATTCTCTTTTTGTTTAAAAACAGTAATTCATACCTAAGTCTCAGCTCTTACTCAGGATTACAGTGTGAATCATGTGAAGTAAACATTTACAAACAGAAAAAAAAAAAAAGGTTGTTGTGAGTATTCCAGAATTAAAATCAATCCATGATTATCAAGAAAGAAGAGTAAGTAGTTTAAGGGTGAAGGTCAGAGAAATTAAAAAGATAAAGTTGTAAAATGGAGCAGCCAAGTTTTAACTTCACAAGAAACAACTATTCTTTGGTAAGCAAGAATCATTAATTCAGCCAGGCACTTGAAAAAGTACTCACAAGAAATTGATAACAAAGAACATAAAAATTCCAGAAGGCCAATTCTGAATTTTGAGAGGCAGATAAACTTACCCAATGAGATCAGGTTGTTATAATTTTCCAACATTATATCTCGATACAAATCCTTTTGGGTAGAGTGCAAGCATTCCCACTCCTTTTGAGAGAAGAAAATGGCCACATCTTCGAACTTCAAGCCCTGAAACCAGAGATAAATATACTATTTGGGAAATTAATGGTCAAAACCTTTATAATAGAATAAAAGAAAATGGAGAAAGCAATTCAGTAAGGAAATTGCTTGGGAAAATAGGCTATGCTTGACCCTTCAGCATGGATGGGTCAGTGTGGGAACAAGAGTGATCGGAGCACACATTATTCTTGGTGCATATATCATTATTAAACATGCCTGCAACTATAAATGTTACCTCTTCCATTAGCCACTCAGGTCTGGGAATAAACAAAGGCCAGATAATTGGTGTTTCCCAACTAAGTAAAACTGTACACTGAGTACACAGCACAATCTATCTTCAGCACATAAGACTTGTGATCATATCCTTCCCATTCTCCCAATAAATTTTTAAAAGTTGGAATCATTAAAAAATGTCTTATAAAACTTCTATTTCTGAAATTGAATTTAAATAACTTAGTGACTTAATCATATCTTTAAAACTCAAGCTCATTAATATGCCAGAAAATTAAATCCTAATCACTTTTCCAAACACTGCTGTCCTGCATCCCTCTGTTCTCCAACAAATGCTTAGGTATTCATTTTGCAGGGTCTGGCTTATATAAGGCTGGATTCTTCATGCAGGTGCAGTTTGTGGAGCCATACTCTTCATTAATGGGCTTTCTCTTGATGCATCAAGCATCCTCCCTGGCTCTTTTCCTTCCATCTTGTTTTCAGTAAACCACTTCTTTTGAACCTGTTTCGCCTCCTCTCTTGACTTCTATTGAATAGAGGCAAGAACCCCTTCAATAGTGACAAAAGCATGAAACAGGGCTCAACCTCATTTAGTACCAAAAATATGCAAATTTAAAATCAGAATAATATATCAATTCATACCCACCAACTAGCTGAAAATGTAAAAGTCTGACAATACTAAGTGTTAATAAGGATATGAAGTAACAGGATTTGTAAATGGGTATCAACATTGGAAAGCAACTGGGCAGTGTCAGGAAGGTTGAAAATGCATATACTCTATGGCCCAATAACTCTATTTCTAGTAATATACCTAGAGAAAATCCTTACATATGATACCAAGAAACAAGTCCAAGAATGTCCACGTGAATATAAAAGAAAAAAAGTATATTTATACAATAAATGGCTATATAGTAGAATAAATTCACAATGTGCATGCATTTCCTCAATGTATACTGAGAGACAAGTAATAAAGTTGCAGAAGATTTCAAACAGTATGATTTTATTTACATCAAATTTTAAACAAAATAAACACATATAGTTAGGACTGTAAACAAAATCAAGGGAATGAAAACATGAAACTCAGAAGTTACCTCTGAGGGGTGGAGAAAGGCACTGGATTTTGTTTTATTTTTGTTTTGAACAATAATTAACATTCTGCTTCTTAAAATGGGTGCTCAGTCATTCATCAAAGCTTATACACTTTCTGCTATTCAATCTATACTAATAAAAGGGTAACATACTAATTAGAACACATATCTTCCAGACGTCCTTCCAACCAGCCAGAGTGGCGGGGACCAAGGCAGAGGCAGTTAGGGGCGATCAGGCTGGCAGGGGAAGGCAGTTAGGGGGCAATTAGGCTGGAAGGGGAGAGCAGTTAGGGGGCAATCAGGTTGGCAGGGGAGCAGTTAGGGGCATCTGGCCAGCAGGCAGAAGTGGTTAGGGGTGATCAGCAGGCAGGCGAGCAGTTAGGAGCCAGCAGTCCTGGATTGCGAGAGGGATGTCCTGGATTGGAGATGGTGTAGGCTGGGCTGAGGGACAGCCCTCCGGCCCCGTGCATGAATTTTGTGCACCAGATCTCTAGTCGTATATAATAAAAACCCAATATGCTAAGTGTCCAGTCCAGTCGGCTGTTCAACCAATCAAAGCATAATATGCTAATGATATGCTAAGGCCTCTCAACTGCTCGCTATGATGTGCACTGACCACCAGGGAGCAGACAGTCGATTGGTTGACTAGTCGCTATGATGTGCACTGACCAGCACGGGGCAGACACTCCGACCAGTAGGTTAGCTTGCTGCTGGGGTCCAGCCGATCAGGACTCAGAGATACGGGCCAGACACGCACTGGAGCCATACAGCTGGCCAACCTCTTGCGTCCCTCCTCGGCCTGGATCGTGCACCGGTGGGGTCCCTCGGCCTGGCATGTGCCCTCTCACAATCCTGGACCCCTCAGGGGATGTCAAAGAGATGGTTTTGGCCAGATGATGGAACAACCAATTGCTATGATGCGCACTGAACACCAGGGGGCAGATGCTCAATGCAGGAGCTGCCCACTGGTGGTCAGTGCGCTCCCACAGGGGTAGCACCTCTCAGCCAGAAGCCAGACTGATGGCTGGCAAGCCTCTCCCACCTCCATGGCAACTGCTATCAGTTGGACATCTCCCGAGGGTTCCTGGACTGCGAGAGGGCACAGGCTGGGCTGAGGGACCCCCCAAGTGCATGAATTTTGTGCACTGGGCCTCTAGTATTAAATAAAAGCAGTTTTAAAAAACAGTTACAATACAGTGTGATAAGAACTATGACAGATGCAGAATAAGGGAATGTGATCAGAGTCACCGAGGATAATTAGGAAACTCAAGCAGGTTTCATAGAACCCAGAGATAATGGTGGTATGGTATAAGCACCTCTCTTGTATTTCTTGTGCAACGAAGACAAAGAGATAGCACTGTGTATTCTGGAAACTACTAGAGGCAAGTGAGAGAGGGAGCAGAGAGAGATGAGGCTGAAAAGAAGGATCACATCCTTAGAAGGTTAGATTTACTTTCACAGGTGAAGGGTTTTAAGCAGGTTAAATTAGCTCCTATTACAAAGAGAAGAATCTTGCTATGGGAAATGAGTGACTTAATTAGGTTAAGGGTATGTAAAAGTTTCATGTAGCATGCAGATGATTAATTGGGGTCCAGAAAAGGAATAGGATCCCAATAAACAAAAACACTTTCAACAGCATTCCAAAGTACAGTAAACAGAGTAAGCTGAAGGTGGAGAGGCAGACTAATTGCATCCTGTGTGTCTGAGAAGCAGGAAATTAACTGGGGCAACTGGTGAGAGATTCTGGGAAAGAAATCTGTCTAGAAGTGATGCTGGAGAAATCTAAAGGGGCCAGGATAGATACATCTTAGATGACAGGTCATCCCTGGCAGGAATAAAAATACTCTCATTCACTACTTTATTCCAATACTAGGATTGGTGCTCTAGTAAACACTGACTGTGCTTTTTAGTGTACATCTATATATATAAAAGCCTAAGCAACCATTACAATCAAATGAACAGAACAACCAGTCAACCAGTCACTATGATGCACACTGACCACCAGGGGGCAGACGCTTAATGCAGGAGCTGCCCCCTGGTAATTAGTGCACTTCCACAGCCAACCTCCCATGGCCAGCTGGTGGGGTTGGCGTCCAGCGTCCATTCCTTCTGCGCCTGGCCCAGTGACTGTAGCCCCCTCTCCCAACCCCGCTGGGGCCTTTGGCCCTGGGCTGGGATGGGGAGCCAGGGGTGCGTGGCAGTGGACGCGGCCTCTTTCCCGGGGGGGGGGGGAGGAAGGGCCAGCTCCCTCCTTGGGGCCAACAGCCAACCCCCTGTGCCCCATCCCTCACCCCAGCTGGCCGCCTGCTGCAGTGGCGGTGCTGCGGTGAGGGAAGGAGCGGGGGGCTAGGTGGGGAACTGCGCAGTGGTGGGGTGCTGGCGTCAGCTTCGGTTTCCAGCGTCTGTTCCTTCTGTGCCTGGTGACCGTCATTTCCTCTTCTGTCCCGCCAGGGCCTTCAGGGGCCGGGCTGGGACAGGTAACCGGGAATGGGTGATGGCAGATGCAGCCCCTTTCCCAGGGGGGCCAAGGGCCGGCTCCCTCTTTAGAGCCGGCGGCCAACCTCCTGCTCCCTGTCCTTCCCCATTGGCCAGCAGGCCCCAATCGGCCTGGCCCTGATCAGCCCTAATCACCGGCCAGGCCTATGGACCCCACCTGTGCACGAATTCATGCACTGGGCCTCTAGTCTATACATATAAGAACCTAAGCAACTGAACGACTGGTCGCTATGACGTGCACTGACCACAAGGGGGAAGACACTCAACAAGGAGCTGCCCCCTGGTGGTCAGTGCAATACCGAAGCCAATCTCCCACGGTCCCTTCCCCAGTTTCCAGACCCAATCACTAGCCAGGCTGAGGGTCCTCACCTGTGCACAAATTTGTGCACTGGGCCTCTAATATATAATAAATACAAATGAATATGCAAAGCAATCCTATATAATAAAAACCTAAGTGGCATCACGCCCTTGTGTGACACCCTTGTGTGATGCTCTTGCACGATGTCATCATAAGTTGGCCGCCACAAGATGGCTGCATGCACAGCAGAGGTGAGACCTGGTGGTCACTCCACGCAGTGAGGCCTGGGGGTCCCTCGGATCTGTGTGGTCTGGAAGAGGCTGGTCCCAGCGTCTCCGCCGCCTCATGCAGAGGAGGTGGGTCCTGGCGGAGGAGGTGGGTTGCAGCAGGGGAGGGCAGTTGTGGGCAATCAGGCTGGCAGGGAAGGGCAGTTGTGGGTGATGTGGCCGGCAGGGAAGGGCAGTTGGGGACCATCAACTCCGGCAGGGGAGGGCAGTTAGGGACCATCAGGCTCTAGCAGGGGAGGGAAGTTGGGGGCAATCAGGCCCTGGCAAAGGAGGGCAGTTGTGGGTGATCAGGCCAACAGGGAGAGCAGTTGGGGGCGATCAGGCCAGCAGGGGAGTAGTTAGGCATCAATCGGGCATGGGAGCGGTTAGTGAGTGATCAGGCTGGCAGGCAGAAGTGGTTAGGGGCCATCAGGCAGGCAAGTGGTTAGGAGCCAGTGGTTCTGGATTGTGAGAGGGATGTCCGACTGCTGGTTTAGGCCCAATCCCTGTGGGATTGAGCCTAAATTGACAGTCGGACATCCCCCGAGGGGTCCCAGATTGGAGAGGGTGCAGGCCAAGTTGAGGAACACCTCCCCCTGCCATGCACAAATTTTGTGCACCAGGCCTCTA